TTCCCTAGTCAGGCCACAAAAGATGCTGGGCAGAGAAACAAACTCAGTGCCTTCATTTTAAAAGTCTGTGAAATTCTGCTGGTACAGCTCATCCCACACAGATCTGCTACTGCATTGCAGCAAGCACAAACCAAGTTCAAAACGGGTGGAAATGGTCACTCTGATCTGGTAATATCTCATGTTTCCCTTAGCAGACAGATCTGCTATCTTCAGGATAAGAAGACACTGAGAAATCATGCTCCTTGCACCTAAGAGCTGTTCTTAAGGTATCCAGTGAAACAATTTTTAGAGAGATTTGGGCAACCAGGATGCAACACAAAAATCTCACAGAATATAATAATTTAAAATAAGAAGTCACTTTTATCTGAGCAGGGCTGTGATGACAGATGATCTCTCTGACAAACCTGGCTGTAAGTTCTTCAGCACAGGTATCTGTGATGAATTCAGTTTGCATTTTAACTCCACAGTTCACTTTTATTTTCCAATAACAAGGCACCCACATATCAAACTTCACAAGTTTGAGTCTTTTAATCTCCAGCTGACTAACTGGTCCATTGCTCAGGCCTTAACACTTCATGCAGTTAATGCAAGCAGCATCTCCAAACGTGCTGCTCTTAGCACCAGCAGCTGCTGCCAACCAGCAGAGGAAACAGCCCTGCAGAGAATTCATAAATTACCCATTGATCTGGTCTCCATGCTAGCACAGCAGGTACGTACAGATTGGCTTCTCCCTGTCCACACAGTCTATCAGCTGGAGCACTGAGTGGGTAACCGAGCAGCTACCACCAAGGAGGAAAATCACATGGGAACAACTGTGTATCACTTGCTGCTATTATCCTTGAGTAACACCAACACTTTAAACAGCATAAAATTTGTATAGAGTAGTTTCCATCAAGGAATGTGAAAGAGGTTGCTAAATACTGCTTTGTTCCTCACTACTCCCCTTAGCAGCCAGAAGAGCTACTACCAAACAGGGAAGCATCAATAAGGTGCAAAGGAACCAAGTGATGCAGCCAACCTAGAACATAGCTCTTTTTATCCCAGGAGCAGCACTTTAGCAGGGCAGAAGTATCCCCTGTACAACTGCTGTGCTCCTGCAGATTCCCAAACGGCCTGCAATAAACTATGGACTGGCAAACTGGTTAACTATAGACAAGGAGAAGGCTGAGGTACACAAAAAGTTTTTTGCCTCAGTCTTCATCTCTTCCCACACCTCTCCAGTGGATGGACTGCCAGGCAGGGACTGGGGAAGAAAAGTCCCTCCCACTGTAAAAGATCATAAGGTTTGAGACCCTCTGAGGAACCTGGACATAAATAAGTCTATAGGACCTCATGAGATGCATCCCAGAATCGTGAAGGGGGCAGTGCCAAGCCCTTCTCCATGATACTTGAACAGGATGCTGAAAGGAAGCCAAATTTTTGGGCACACTGTGAGAACCTGAATCACGTCTCCCAAAACTGGTAGAAATAGCAGGAGTTGAGATGTCTTGAGAGGATTCCAATGCAGAACTTTATCAATAAAGTGCTTTCACTGTCTAGATACTGTTTAGGTATCACTTCTACCTCTAATATTGACATTTTTCAAGTCACAGACACTCAGGGCTCTACTCACAAATAACTGGTCCTTACTGCATCTCTATATATTTCTAGACTATTTAATAAGATCAGTAACAATCTTGCTTGATGTACAAGGTCCGGGATAAAAATCCTGGGTTTGTAAAGTGCCAAATTTATGGCACCATATAATACAACATCCAGGGAGTGCTACTAGGCAGTCATTCAGGCTGTGAAACGCCAAAGAGTAACGGAATCAGCAATCAGACATCAAGGATACAAACAGAGCTGTTATCTAACCCTGATCTGCAGTGCCTAAGTATAATTCCACATAGAACGTAGCAGCACGTGGTGGCACTAAAAACCTCTGAGCTGATTTGCACAGGCCTCAGTCATTTGTGCCAAGAGTGAAGGGATTCAGGTTTCCCAGGCACTGCTGTGCTCAGCACCCCCCCCCCACCTCCTCCCCCTGGCCTGGGGCAGCAGCACCATACCTGGACCAACACGGCTCTCTGCGGGGCAGGGGTGCAAGGGCTGGAACTGCTGCCAGATCCCATCCTGGCGTGTGGTGTGGCTTCATGCCCCAGCACTGCTGGCCACTGCAGGGAGGGCTGGATGCTGTCACTTTTCTTTTTGCGGTCCTCAGCCTGAGAAGGTGAAAAGCAGCAGCAGGTTGCATACTGAGCCTCAGGCTTTGCAGCCTGGATGTTCTTCAACAGCAGCACAGTGTGCAGCAACTCTGAGGGACCTCCCCACCTCCCATGGCACAAAATGAACCATTAGAATCACAGAAGACAACCACGGTCCTCAAAGTCCCTTCCAACCCTAACCACTCTATGATTACTGCCTCTCCATTTGCAACCCCTCCTCTGCCATCAAGTTTCTAAACTGCAGCAAGGAAAAGGGCCCGAGTTGCCATCTGCTGCATTCTAGGCCACGCCACAGGCTGGGATTTCAGCTGGAAAGACTAATCCGTTAGTATTTACTTATCTCTGACGACATGCAGCCTGCTTTGCCATGCATTATCACCCCCTTCTACAACACTTACATTACTGCACGTTGCTTCTACTTCAGAACACTTTTAACACCCTGTTAGCATATTAGTTGCACTATGGAAAAGAAGGATCTAGAAAGGCATAAAGATACTTTAATTTCCTGAGCATATTGCTCATTACAAACAGCTTTATCCTATGCTTTTGGCCCTTCTATTCATTCCAGTTTCATTCAACAGGACTAATTCCCATTCTCTAGTTTAAATCTTTAGCATATCCTTTGATTCAGCAGCCTAGAAAGAGCTCTACACAGTAAACTAGAGATTAATGCCATAAAAACACCCAGTTATCTGTGTCTGGGTGAGTATTCTTAATGGTATCTCTCACTGTATCTGGTAGTGCCTATGTCAGGAAGGTAAGCACATTCTTAATGCAGCCTTGGAAACTGCTGAGGAGATGGAAAATTATTCCACTTAGTCTCACAGATCTCAACTGGGGAAAAAAAGAAAACATACACATACAAAAAAAACCCCTCAAAACACACAAAAAACCCCTTATTAAACAAGCAGCCACAACCAAATACCATGAAATTCTAGCTCCAGTGAACTCATTCATCATACTACTCTTGAGGCCAGATTCTTATTACTTGCAACTTCTAATAATGAAATGTCAATTTTACCATAAGCAAGAAAGAAAATTTTAAAGCTAGATTTTATAATTTACATACACCTCTGTGTCCAAAGGGCACAACCTGACACTGTGGCACAGAGATCTTGGTGTGATGTCATTCTACGTCTTGGTCAATTTTGTGAACTCTAAAATCAGGCAATAACATCTGTTAAAACTCAGATGATACTACCTTAATTCATTCTTCTTTGAAAGACAAGAGAATAACACACGGTTGAACCCTGTTTCCCCATTCACCAGACAAACATTTCTCTGAACTCCAGTGGAAGGGACAGAGCAACCTTTCCTTTTCCTTATCCTCTACATTAACAGAAACCAAAGTCTCTGCTGTAGCGTGTCTAGTAAGACAGATTAAGACCCAGATCTAGGTTTAAAGATCAGTGTGTTCTCTGCTGCAGCACTGTCACAGCATCATAAACTGCAAAGCACCAAAACACTACATTGGCTGAGCTGGTACCTCTTTGCTTGTGCTGCTTGATGGAGTATGTGCTGCTGAATTTGAACTCTTGGAAGGCTCTTTCTTCTTCTGTTTGTGGTCGTGCTGGAGAGACAGCAGCTGGGTCTGATCTTTGGGGAGAGTTCGATGCACCTTCCTGTTGTGCTGCGCATCCTCCACCTTCTGAAAGCAAAGAATGAGGAACCTCAGAGAGAACAATGCCTTGGTCAACAACCAAGCTGAATGCTGGAAATATAGACTTTTCAAAGAACAAAATGAGCACAATTCCAGCAGGGCTGGCATAAGCAACAGGAAGCATAAAGAGACCCCAAACACACTGTGACCCCTGTTTGGCTTTTCAGACAACACATCAGAAAACAGTACTTTTTCTTTTTAGTTTTTCTAAAACCAGTGGGCTTTAATCAAACACTCCCTCCTTCTGTTGCATTACAAATCAACTTGCTCCTTAAGTGTTAGAAAAACAGTGTGGCCAAGGTGCCAGACTTGACAATGAGACTTCAGCCTTGAAACAAACCACTGCTCTATTTTTATTTGTGAAAAATAAATGGTCTGGCTACAAGCCAAACAGAAACTGGTGATTTAAGCTTAGGTTGAACTGATGCTAGAAGCTTTCAGGGTAAAGATATTTTATGTCAGGTTGAAGTGACTGAAGACTATTTCAGGACAAAGAAACACCAGGACAGAAGTGGGAGAGGCAGTGTCATTCCTGTAGATAAGGAGGATGACCCAGCAACATGTAAGTTAACTTCAAATAAGTTTGATTCTGAGAACAAGAGGCAGCAAATGCATAAAAAAAGTCCCTCTCTGGTCTGACTCAGGGGATGGAAGCACTCTCAGAGACCTGACAATGACATCAGCTATAGAAACAGGGAGCTGCAAATTGCTGTCAGCAAACTCTTCTCATACCTGCTTCTTTTCCGATTTCCTCTGTCCATCTGCTGTGAACTGTTCATCTTCCACAGCCCTTTTGTCTTCTTTACACCTCTCCTCCTTCCTCTGAATGGCCTCTGGCCACCTCTGCTCACACTCCTGCTGCCTTCGTAGCTCCTGCTCTCGCCTCTGATGCTGGAAGAGAGCCAGGGAATAACTGCTTATTTTACTTTACTTTTGTACCCACCAATTACCTACACCAGTGTTCATCAATCAGAAGGCCCATTTCCTGCTAGGCAGTCACTAACAGGGATACCCGATTCACCAGGCAGCAGGAGCAGGCAGCCACAAGCTGCCACCACAGTGGCTGCCAAGTCTGAAGTGAAACCTTTGCCCTTTTGGCAGCCAAGGGTGGATTAGCCATTCATTTAAGCAGGGCTGTGAGACCTCTGGGATGGCTGGCAGCTAATCTAATGACAAATGTCTTCCTGTCATGTTGAGAAGGAAGGGCTTTTCCAGAGGCCCCGTTTTGCTGGAGTAGCACTGTGCTTTGCAAATGCCAGCTCCAGCATGTTTGCACAATGCTTGAATTCCAGCAAGTACTCATGAGAAGAGATGTGTTGGTGATTTATCAATGTTTCCAACACCTCAGTGTGTCAGACAGCTGAAAAGGCAGCAGCTACCTTGTAACATTTTAAACAGAAGCAAGACCAGGACCATGGATCCAACAGGCAGACTCTGAATCGGGCAACACATCTGAGACCAAAATCAGGATCTCTCATTCCCTCCCTGGAAGTGTTCAAGGCCAGGTTGGATAGGGCTTGGAGCAACCTGGTCTAGTAGGAGTTGTGTCTGCTCATGCAGGGGTTGGAACTAGAGGATCTTTAAGGTCCCTTCCAACCCAAACCAGTCTATTATTCTATGATCCCTTCTGCCTGGTCTCCCACTGCCAAACAAACTCAAGCAGAATGCCTTTCCTCTTCCACTCCCAAAGCTCAGGGCAGGTTGTCAGCAGGAAAAGGACAGACCCCATTTAAAGTGAGGTACAATAATTGTGTTCAAAAGTGACATGGTTCTCCCAAGGCTAAAGACTACAATCCAGGTTGTGCCGACAATTTAACACAGCCTCCTTGCCTTTCAAAACCTACTCTCTACAGACACATTTTTTATTTGACACAGAATAATAATACAAGCCAGTCCCTACATCTTCCAGCCTCCTCCTCTGCTCCTTCTGCTGCTCGATCCGTTTCTGCCGTTCTGTCAGCAGCTGCTTCTTGTATTTCTCCTGGTCCTTCAGCTGCTGCTGCTGGCGCTGAGGGTCAGATCGGTTTTTGTTCTCCTGCTGCAGCCTCAGAAATTCACGACGAAGAGTGGACTCCCCTGGGAGATTAACTATGGAGCTGAAACAAAAGTGAGGTTTCCACATGACTAAACGTAACATTAAAGAGAGAATACAAGGTGCATTGGGAATTGCTGTTTTTTCTGTGTTAGCAAATTAGGATGTTACAATAAATCTTCAGCATGTTGACTGTGCATCTGCACTTACTGTGCTGCAGAACAGTCTGAAGCTGATTATTGGGTCCTTCATTTGAGAGTTTCCTCGCTATTGCAGAGGAACTAATAAACAGCTTATTACAGACATCTTAAACTCAGCAACTACATTCAAAAGCTACAAAATAGTTAAAGCTACTGAGGGGACACAGAAGACAAGGGATTCAGAGCAAGTTTGGAAAGCCCTTCTGGCTGAGAGGGCTGCTTTCAGTGAGAACAGCTTGGGCAGTCAAATTTTCTATTCCAGTAATAAAATTAACCTTGGTTCTCCTTCATCTTCATTCAGCTCATCATCTTCTTCTTCACTTCCACTGTAATCATAGTCTGTTTCTTCTATATATAAAAAAGAAGAGAATAAACAAGCCCCAGTGGAGAATGCTGTTATTTAAGATATGATCTTGAACTTTGTTTTCTGAGCACTCAACCTGAACTACATGTAGCTCAGCAG